ATGCAGCGGGGCCAGGCAGGCCTGAGGCCTACCGCGGCCCGTTGCTAGGAGACCGGCTCCGGCCATGCCGAGAATGCCTGGCCGCGGGGAGCCGACTTTATTACAGGCCCTGGCGGGCCATTGTCCCCGGTAGAGGCCCCACGGCGGCCTGAATGCAAGGAACGAGATGTCCGTAGCAGGGCTGCCTAGTGGGAGAGGCAGGCGGGAGAAGAAGAGGAGGAATGGCGCGGGGGTGCCTTTTGCCGTCCCCCGGGATAGCCAGCCATTTGCCCTGCTGCATCCCCCGGGGGAGACGCGTTTCCCTCCAGAGGACTTTTACCTCTGCACCCTCCTCTTGGCACCCACCCAGCTGAGCCCCGTTCCCCCAGCCCGCCTTGGGGACGTGTCTGTCTCTCTGCAGCCCCGCAACGCAGGGTGTTTGCCTCTTGCTCTAGGGATGGGCGCCATGTTGGCCAGCACACTGGGAGTGGACGGGTGGCCTCTGCTTGTGCATTGTGTGGCCCAGCAGGACAGATGGGTCCAGGAAACCGTCCCGCTGCCCAGGGCTCCCACTGGACGTGACTCCGAGGCTCTGGTGCCTTATCGTCTGGGTGCTTGGGCCATGCTGGCCCTGGCCCATCGCTTAAGGAGTCACCTGGCCAGTGTGTGCGATGCTGGGGCTCCGCTTTTACCCCAGCTTAGTTTGGATCAGTTGTAGAGGTTGGGGGCCCAGCCCGGGCCTGGTGAGCAGCCGTGGCATGGCCCCCTGGGCGAGTGGACAGCTGCAGCAGCTGCAGGGGGCTGGGCGGGGAGAAGGTTGCGTCAGGGCAGGCGAGGCAGAGGTGTGTCGGGGAGGGGACGCGTGGCTCAACCTCCTTGCGTCAGCCGGTTGCCTTTTTAAACACGCCCGACCTGAAAAAGCAGTTCTGTCAAAACCGGCAACAGCCCAGGGGTGATCCCCTGCCCCCAGCAATCAGGGCAGACGGGTGACGCAGAGCCTTGGGGGAGGGGGTGACCCGGATGCGGAGCCTTGGTGCAGACGAGCGATGCAGAATCTTATGCTCTGCAAGGCATCTGCAATAGCGACGGCCTCAGCTGGGCGTCCTCATGCCTCTGAGCCACCAGGCCCCATGTCTCCCCCAGTCCAGGGACTCGCCTTGTAAAGAATTGGCCATGCTCTCGCTCACCTCCAGCGGGAGGCAGGAATTCCTGGGGCCAGGTTGCTGGGCCGTGCTATGCAGGAAGACAGGGTAGCTGGTCAGAATGGGCCCTTCTGGGTTTAAACTCTGCGAATCTGCCCAAGGCAGATGGGGGTCCTATGGCCACAGCTCAGCAGAAGGTCACCCCTGTGACTCAGCCCGGTTACACACTCTGGGCTTCCCCAGGCACCAGTGGCTTGGACAGAAAGGGAGTACAAGGAGGCCTCCCTGTCCCCAGAGCATCCCAGCTGGTGGGGTTTCAGGGAGGGATAAGGACTCGTCTTTGTTTCCCTCCCTAA